TCTGGATCCCAGGTGTGCAAATTATCTACTGCTAAGTGACAAGATTTAGATGGGTTGTATTTTTTATGTCTATTTCATGAAGATTCTTTGACTCAGAATTTAGAAGTGTTTCCACAGCTTGAGTCTAAATGGAAAGTCACACATGACCCGCCTTCTGAATGTTTGGTCTGAGCTATCCAAATTTTCCAACATGTTTACCATTGATGCAACTGAATGCTATACACTGGTTAATTTACAACGAATTAAGATTTTATTTGACTCACAGTTCTTAGAAGATAGGAAGTCCACTGTCAAAAAGCCATATTTGGTTTAAAAAGCCTTCTTGTTTGTATGGATTCCACAAAGTCCAAAAGTGGCATCACTTCTTATGCCAAGATGGACCACAGTCATTGGACAAAGGGACTACTGGGCTAGTTTCCCAGATCACCCACTCTTTTACCCAGAAAGTTGGTATTTGTTGGCAGCAGTTTCTCCAGTGTGGTCCTGTCTACCCAGTGATGCAGGAACAAGCAAAATGCATGTCAGCATTTCTTTTGTGTTCTAGCTTTGGAGGTCATGGTTGCCACTGCTGTAATATCTTATTGGTTACAAAGTCACTCCTGTCCATTGTGGGAGGAGACTAGACAAGGAAATGAATGCCAGGATTTGAGAAACGTTAGATCCATTTTGCAGGTTGATTCCACCTGCTGGTCAGCTTCAAATGTCCATGTCAGGTGGCACCGTAAGTTCTGTGGGTTATTTAACTGAGTAAAATAAGTCTTATTCCCAGGGCACATAGCTTGTTAGTTGAGTCTGCTTTACACAGTACTCCATGTTGCTATGCATTTTTGTCCTACCAGTTTCTACTGCCGACAGTCCCCCACAGTCAATTTTTGTCTGCCCCAAAGAAGGGTTATGTAGTTATAAATAATGTCCCCTAGATGACGGGGGGATCCCCAGTGCCAACTTCCAAGGAAATGTCCTCTGAAATTCTCAAACATAGGGACATATTCTTCTGAATTCCAAATACTTCCTCAATCTTATTCTTGTTAAACTGAGAGCCACGGCCTGTTGGCCATCAGCTTGAATTACTTCATCTCTGTATTCTTAAATCACCAAGTTCTGACCCACCTCCTCCTGCTGCTGCCCTTGTGCCTTGCCTTATCCCTTGAAGTTATCAAAATTCCCACTAAATACTGCCCCTGTACCTTTTCTGCAGAACAACTCGCCATTGTTTTCTCAACACCCTAATGTCTTTACTGATTTTCAGTTGGACAAGATCTAGAATCCCCTAAGATACAAATCTCTGGGAACACATCTGTGAGTGAGTTTGGAGATTAGGTTCATTAAATGTGGATGGTACCCTTCCATGTTTGGGGGTCCTGGGCTGCATAAATAGGCTGCATAAATAAATAGACACTTCTGGTTTATTAACTCTCTCTGCTTCCTGAATGTGGAAGTAATGCTGTCAAATGCCTCGGTCTCTTGACTCCATCATTTCTTTACCATGACAAACAGCACCCTCAAACCATGAGCCAACATAAGCCCTTCCTTTCTTAAGCGCTTTGTTTTCTTGGAATTTTGTCATAAAAAGGAGGGAAAGTAACTAATATAACACCATAGAGATCCATTATAACCACTCTACAAATGGTCAGACGTAAAGAAATATGCCCACTCCACCCATCCCAGATAAGCTAGGTAAGGCTGTCAGGCAAGGCAACAAAGACCAAATTTACCCTCTAAAGGAAACAGCTGAAAAACTGGAAAAAATTTAATACTTTTCCAAAATACTAGCCATCAGATAGTGGAGACTTTGAGAAAGGGGAAACAAATCAAGTGGCCGCCTCAGAGAGCTCTCAGATCACAGACTACACAGAATTCCCTCCCTTGGGGCCAAGAGGGAGCCAAGGTATGCACACTGGCCCCATTTACTTGAGGTGACACTGAGGTCATGGCTGAAGCTTTCTTGAAAGCTTCACAGACAACTATTCTGCAGATCTTTGGAGGGCTTCCCTCAAATACTGAAGCAAATTTGAAAGACAGTAAGCATGGAAGGGCATGAAGAAAGAAGAGAGCTCTAGGCTAAGCAGACCTGTGATGCTGCCAACTAAAACAATAACTAGTGATCACAGTGTCTCCAAATAATGGTATCACTGAACGAAACTAGAGAGTATTTATAGAAAGGTGAGTCTCTCTCAAGAAAGTAAAATTCATATCTACTACCCAAGCAACCTTAACTTACCAAGCATACAGATAAGCAGGAAAACATTACATGTTATGAGGAGAGTCAATCAGTAGCAACCAACCTCAAGTAACACAGATGACAGAATGTTAGGGAAGGATGTCTTTCTTGGCTGATGAGTTGTTTCTTGTAACAGGGTCCTACTGTTACAATACTGAATTCAAACCCAATGTGTAGCCCAAGCAGTCCTGAAACTCCTCCCGCCTTGGGCTCCACAGTGCTAGGATTAGTGGCCCATGCCACAGCCCTGACTCAAAGCAATTATTTTTAACTATATTATAAGTGGTGAAAAGTTAAAGGAGAAATTTAACCTGGATGAAATGATAGGGACCTAAGTAAACTTCAAGAGATGATAGCTTCAAAGCCTGAGATAAGATATTACACTACAAGAGGTTAACACTGTGTTAGCTTTCCCGGGGGAAAGGGAATAGAGAGTAGAAAGACATCACTACAAACTAAAACAGAGAGAAAAGATTGGAAACTCTCGAGTGTGAGTGAACTTCTGAAGTTTCTCTGAAGAGGAGTAAATGTGACAGGGACACTATTTGAGGAAGTAATAGCCCAAATTTTCCAAATCAGCTAAAAATTAAGAACTCCCAAATGTAAAAAACTCTATAAACTTCAAGCACCAGAAACAGAAAGGCAGTAAAAATAACGTCATAGCCAGACTACTGAAAACCAGTGAAAAAGACAGTCACACACACACAACCAGAGGAAAAGACAGGTTGTGATGGTGACAGGTTGCTTGTCAATTTTACTACACCTGGTATTAACTAAAATTCAAAAATGAACAGCACACCTGTGAGAGAATTTTACTTAATTTGAAGTAGGAAGATTAACTTCTAATCCAGATCCTTTAGTTACAAAGACATGCCTTTAATCGATATCTTTCGATTGGGAAGAGGCAGGCCTTTAATCCAAATCTTAAGGCAGGAAAACCCCTTTAATCTTCGCCACACCTGCTGCTGGAAGCCCGTATAAGGAAGCTTTTGCTCTTTGCTGCTTGCCCTTGTCTCCTAGCAAGTCCATCTCTTCACTGACTTTCAAGCCCTACCTCTTCAGGGTTCCAGCACATACAGAAGACCAGCTGAGACAGCCAGCCAGCCTCATGGACTGAACAACTACTGGATTCTTGGACTTTCCATTCCTAGCCAGCCATGGTGGGATTAGCTGGAGCACAGCCTGTAAGCCATTCTAATAAATCCTCTTTCTGTAGGTATATATATTTGAGTCATTCTATAAGTCCTGTTACTCTCGAGAGCCCGGACTAACACACAGTTATACACACAGCCAGAGGAAAAGGGAGATTGAATAAAAATAAAATTGCAGAAGACTTTCTTTACAGCACTTCAAACAAAAGATAGAGCAATAATTTATAGTACCCAAAGAAATAACTTTTAACCTAGATATATAGAAAGATATACTGAAAGAAATAACTAGGACTGACCCAGACCCCCTGAACGTGCATGTCAATTAGGAGGCCTGGGCAATCTATAGGGCCTCTAGCAGAGGATCAGTATTTATCCCTAGTACGTGAATAGACTTTGGGAGCCCACTCTACATGGAGGGATACTCTCTCAGCCTAGACACATGTGGGAGGCCTAGGCCCTGCTCCAAATGATATGACAGACTTTGAAGATCCCCCATGGAAGGCCTCACCCTCCCTGGGGAACAGAAAGGGGATGAGATAGGGGGTCAGTGGGGAGCAGGGGAGGATGGGGGAGAGAGAACTGGGAATGATATATATATGTAAAACAATCTTGTTTCTAATTTAAATTTTAAGAAAGGAAAAAATCTGAACTGAAAAAAAGAAATAACTAGATAAGAATGTGACCCATACAAGGGAATGAAGACCACAGGAGAGAGTTCTAACAAGAACACATATAAAGGATTTAAAAAAAAAAAAAAAAAAAAAAAGGTAACTTACTAAACTTAAAAACTTAACATGTAGCGTATGGTTTGTAACATGTAAGAAATAGATATGAGGAGAAAAGTAGCCAGTAAGAATTTTTCTGTACATATAGTGGTGTGATGTCACTAGACATTGCTGACAAGTTAAATACTACATTGTAAACCCCAGAGCAATCCCTAAAATAACATAATGAAGAATTATAGTTCCTGAGCCAACAAAGATTAAATGGATCGTGAAAGAGAGTCAATTTCCAAGAAGGAAGGCAAGAAAATAGAACGAAAACAGATGGAACAAACAAAAGACTAAGAGCAAGCTGGTAGATTTAAACAGTCACAACAAAAATAATCACAATAAATGTAAATAGCATCTCAATTAAAAAGCAGGAACTTCTCAGATTAGGAGGAGTGGGGAAGAACCAAAGACTATCTGCTGCTCACAGGGAACCTACTTGGCAAATTAAGTGGCAAGTTTTAAAAACCCACCCATTGTCTTCTGTTATACTACCAAGCTGCTGAGAACGACCAGGAGAAAAAATTATAAAAATGGATATATTAGTGCTCCTGTCGGTTTTCGGCATCTTTCCTTCTCCACTCCCCATAGTAAATAAGCCGATGATACCACATTGACTTGACTTCCTGCTTCACGGGGAACAGCAGCCACCTATCTGCCCCCACCTTCCAGGTGAGTGTGAGTGACGACACTCACCTTCAGTCCCTTTTCACCAAACTCGGAGAAATGGTACTGGATCCCTCCTTTAACAGTCCCAGGGTTGGGGCTCCCATCAGAAAAGGAAGCTGTCTTGGTTAGGGTTTCTATTGCTGTGAAGAGCAACTCTATAAAGGAAAGTATACAATTGTGGCTACTTACAGTTCAGAGCTTTAGTCCATCGTCATTGTGGTGGGAAGCATGGTGGCATGAGTTCTACAAGCAAGCAGCCGAGCGTTCTACATCTGGACCAGCAGGAATCCACCAGAGAGAGAGGGGGGAGGGAAAGGGAGAGGGAGAGAGGGAGAGAAGGTGAGGGAGAGAGGGAGAGAGGGAGAGACTCTGGGCCTGAATTGAGCATTCAAAACCTCAAAGCTCACCCCCAGTGACACACTTCCTCCAACAAGGCCACACCTCCTAACAGTGCCATGTTATGGTGTTCCTGCCTGGTTCCACAGCTGCCTCAGAGTCCACAAATAACACATTGGATACTATATTAATTATGAAACTGTTGGCCAATGCCTAGGGCTTCTTATTGGCTAGTTCTGACTTGACTTCTAACCCATTTCTATCGATCTAAGTGTTTCCATGTGGTCTTCTCTTACCAGAGAAAGGTCGGGAGACACGTTACTCCTCTCCTGTCCTACATCATGACTCACTGCCTACGTTTCCCAGAATCCTCCTTGTCTCCTAGTCCCGCCTATCTTGCTTCCCTATTGGCCAACAGTGTTTTATTCAACCAATAAGAGAGACATACATACAGAAGACTCTCCATCAGTGCCACTTCCTGAGATCATGCATTCAAGTCTCTATCTATGGGAGTCATTCTTACTCAAACCCCAGAGGTATCTTTGTCTTTTCTCTCACTAACTTTGAAGTGGACACCCTGACCTCTTAGTTGCCTACTAGGAAACCTGGGCATCTTCAAACTGCTCGTCTCTTAGACCCATCTACATCTCATCCACCACCCAATCCTCATACAGTTCCACCTTCAATGTCTGGGTCAGACAGCAGACTAGAGAATCCACAGGACCCGGGACAACTACATCACACTTAGCCTTAGTGTAATGAGGGACTGAGGTAGAAGGAACAAACCAGTTGTCAGGCCCTTTTGTAGGCACAGGCAAGTCATATTCATATATATTCATATTCATGAATATATATATATATATGAGAGAGAGAGAGAGAGAGAGAGAGAGAGAGAGAGAGAGAGAGAGAGAGAAAGTTGGTTCTGGATCAAGACAACCCAAATATTAAAACACAAAAAACAAACAGAAACACATACACACACACACACACACACACACACACACACACGGGAAGTAAATAAATAAATACTCTCAGGACTGTGTGCTATAAAGCCAAGGCTTAGAAACGGGGTGGGGGGATCAGGTAACAGTTTTGGTTCCAACAGATTAAGAAACATTTTTTTAAGCAAAAGTAAGGTTATCTGTCTGAAGGAGCAGGAGTTAAAACGCAGGCAATTAGCAGACAAAGTGTCAATTTCACTGTTTTCATGCCAGTTAATGGAGCTTGAATGGCTGTGGTGAAGCAAGTGTCTCAGTCCTGAGTGACAGGCACTCTTTAAAAGAAAACCTGAAGTGAGGGAGCAGCCCCACACAGTCATTTGTCCCATGTTCAGAATTAGAGCCCTCATTTCCCACACTCGTGTTTGGGGGAGCTATGGTGGCTGTAAGAGAGGTCCAGGAAATCTCTGCCACCTCCCTGCATGAGGCTGCTGTACCCACAGCTGAAGGCTTTCTCCCCAGCAGGTAGCACTGGAGGGGAAGATGGTGGAACCTTTGCCAAGTAGAGACTTGCTGGAGGAAGTGAGTCACTTGAAGGTGGGCCTTAGGCTTTCTAGGCCGCCCCCACTTCCTGTTCAACTCTCTGCTTCTGGAGTGTAGATTGAAATACATGTGGCCAGCCACCCTTCGGCCCCTACCTGGGTCCCTTCCCTCCCTGTTGCCATCCCAGTTGCCATGTCTTCTCAGAATGGATTATGTCTCTCTGAAACTGCAAGCCCAAAGTTTCTCCCTTGAGTTGCTTTGGTCAAAGTATTTACCACACAAGAAAGTAACCAAGACAGCACCAGAGCTGGATTCCTCTGGTCTCAGCGTCAGCCCTATTGAGTAGCTCTTCTCACAAACGAGGATGCTTGTCTTAAAGGCAAGGACGTGACAAGGCCCTGTGGCAGGCAGCCTGCTTGCCCTGACCTCCTATGAATTACACACTGCAGGGAAGCCAGCTGTCTTGATGGCACTGTTTTGGAGAACCCAACTGATAAAGAACTAAGGTCACCAATCAACAACAATGTGGCTAAATGTCTCCTAAAGGCCCATGTATTAAAAACTCAGTCCCCAAAGCATGTCACTTGGGGGAGGAAGAAGCCCAGTAGGAAATCTGTTCGCTAAGGGCATGCCCTCAGAAGGGTGTTAGGACATAATCCCTCCTCTTGCCTGACATTTGCCTGTTACAGTGCACTCTCCAGCCACTACCATGTGCCACTTTTCTACAGATCCATGGGCAACAGGGATAGCCAGCCATGGACAGAAACTACCATAAGTATAAGCCATGTATTCATCAGACGTCGATGTGTTTGGACTGGTGAGATAACTCAGTGGATAAAAGTTCAGTCCCCAGAACCCAGGATGGAAGGGGAAAACCAACTCCTGAACATTGTCCTCTGTCCTCCATATCCACATTTTGGCATACACACTCTCTCTCTCTCTCTCTCTCTCTCTCTCTCTATATATATATATATATATATATATATATATATATTAAATTATAAAGATTTTTACTCGGATTTCCATCATTGTCTAAGATCATCAATTTAAAAAGAAGAAAGGTCTATTTTGATTCATGGTTTCAGAGGTTTGAGTTCATCTCAACTGGTCCAATTACCTTTGTGCTTGTGGCCAGTGCCGTTTATCATGGCGGGAGAAAATATTGGGGGAAAGCAGCCTGCCTTATAGCAGCCAAGAAATAAAGGAAAAGGAAATCCCGGAGTCCCAATATCCCCTGAAAGGTCATGCCCTCAGCTACCTCACTTCCTTGCATTAGGCTCCATCACCTCCTAATGTCACCAACACATGGCTCCAAGCCAAGTCCCTGCACACACCTTGACTAGGACACCTGAGCAAAGAAGGTCCACCCCGTTCTGCTCTCAGTGTATCCACCGTCATGAACAGTGAGAGAAAATAAATGCTTTTTTTGTCTTAAGTGACTACCTTCTGTGGTGCGGTGTCGTGGTGCATCTTTTTAGATCCTCACTCTTACGTGTACACATTCCCAATGTTACATGCTTTACTCTGTTTCGGGGATTTCAATAACTATATGAGTTTAGTGGTTGGTGTTCTTACCCCAGAAGTAAGCTCCAATTCTGATACTCATTAGATGCTTCTAGAAAGAGGGACCTTCCAACCTAGGAATTTAGAACTGTAGCCCAACCCCTTCCGCCCAGAAGGATCCATGTCTAAAATACTGTGTTCAGAGATCACTGAGCTGGTGAATAACTGAGCACTGATTTTTCAGCATTTTGAATGTATCTGACTCTGCCTTAGAGAAATGGTGGTTTTCCATTTTCAGTGCTAATGGACTTCTTAGTGCCTGAGGGGAACCTGTGCCTGTGAAGGAATGCTTGCTACTAATTACAATTTTGGCAGTGTTCCAATTATTAATCTTAAGAGTTTATTAGATAATTAGAAATCTCTTAAATATTATATAATCAATGTTACCCTAAATATTTACAATTACTAACAACTAGTAAGTGAAAAAGTATGATTTTGCAAAAAAAATTTTCCCAATCAATATAAACCCAATTGCAAACTTAGCCTGCTACTCTCAGACATTTAATTAAAATCTAAATATTAACATATTAATTCCCTTCACTATTCTGATAACTTTAAAATGCTAAGGCTCCCACAAATGAAGCTACAAACTTGCTAATGCCCTCACACCATAAGTGGGTGTGATGATGTGGGTGCTATTGATTTTATTTTGTTGTCGTTGTGTTGTTTGAGGTTTGGGTGTGCTTTTTTTTTTTCCTTTTATTGAAAATAGATTTTTTTTTCTCACAAATATCCTGATTACAGTTTTCCTTCCTCTACTCCTCCCGGCTCCTCCCCACCTCCCCTCCCATCCAGACCCACCAACAAACAGGCTTCTCGGGGATAATAATGAGATAAAACTAAACTAAAACATCAGAATAAGACAAGAGACACCAAAGGAAGAGAGCCCAAGAAAAGGCACAAGAAAGAGATACCGACGCAAAGACCTGCCCATTCCGCCACTCAGTCCCATGAAACTGGGAGTCATAAAATATATATATGCAAAGGACGTATAGGGTAAAAAGGGAGATTGAAAACAAAATTAATTAATTAAATTAAAAATGTACAAGGTACAAGAAAAGATATTAAAATCTACAAGGGTAAAAGACAAACTAACATATAAAGGCAGGCTTGTTAAAATAACACTGGATTTTCAATGGGGGCACAAAAGCCAAAAGGGCCTGGTCAGATGTTCTACTAGCTCTGAAAGACCACAGTTTGCCAACCCTGACTATTAGACCCAGCAAAACTATCAATCACGATTGAAAGAAAAAAGAAAAACATTCCATGATTAAATAAAATGAAAAAAGCAAATTCTTGCCACCAATATAGCTCTATAAAGGGCACTAGAAGGAAAAATTCATTTTGAAGAAGACTATATCCAAGAGAACACAAAGAATAAATCATTCCAAAGCCATAAATCAAAAGGGGAAACCCACACCACAACAACAAAATAAAAGGAATCAATAAACACTGCTCATTAATAGATCAATATTAATAAGACAAGTCCCTGCAATATAAAGATACATACTAACAGATTGGTTGACACAATATGAACCATCTTTCTACTGCATCCAAGAAACACATCTCAACATCAAGGACAGCCATCACCTATGGGTAAAATTGAATAGAAACTATATCCCAAGCAATGTCATAGATCAAATGTACCTAACAGGAATGCACAAAATGAGCCTTCATCCAGTAGCTGATGGAAGCAGAAGCAGAGGTCCACAGCTAAACCCTGAGATAAACTGGAGTTCAGTCGCAGAGAGGGAGGAGTGATGAGCAAAGGGGTCAAGACTATACTTGGGGAAACCCACAGAAACAGCTGACCTGAGCAAGTGGGAGCTCACAGACTCCAGACTGACAGCTGGGGAACCAACATAGGACTGAACCAGGCCCCCTGAACGGGGGTGTCAGTTGGGAGGCCTGGACAGTCTATGGGGCCTCTGGCAGTGAAACCAGTATTTATCCCTAGTGCATGAATAGACTTTGGGAGCCCATTGCCTATGGAGGGACACTCTCTCAGCCTAGACACACAAGGGAGGACCTAGGTCCTGCCCCAAATGACGTGACAGACTCTGATGATCCCCGTGCAAGGCCTCAAATTCCCTGAGGAGTGGATAGGAGGTGGGATGGGGGTTAGGTGGGGGGGGGGGCAGGGGAGAACGGGAGGGAGAGGAAACTGGGATTGGTGTGCAAAATAAGATTGTTTTTAATTTAAACTTAAAAAAAAAAAATCCACAGAACCTTCCACCCAAATACTTAAGAATACATTTCCTCCTTAGCATCCCATGGAACTTTCTCCAAAATTGACTACATATTAAGACACAACATAAAT